AGATGCGATAAGCATCAATAAACTACAGAAGAACACAAAATTGATCGCAGCATTTAAGTATTGAATTAATGTTTAAGCTTACCATTTAAAAGTTGAATTTAATTTAAATACGATCCTACGTAGATCCTTATTTTCAGTACAAACAATTTTTTTTCATGGGTGACAAAACAGGTGTTAATTTATAAGATAAAATTAATACAGCGTAAAGATGAGAAAGTACAAATTAGAATTTGTTTGACATTCAACATATAAAGAATTAGAGAAACATAATAACTCATTGATTAAAACCTATATTATGGAATCTAAACAAAGAAATGCGAAATTGGAGCTCAATTCTCCCACAAATTCTGAGATTGGGGCCACAGCTCTACTTTATAGTAATTTGGTATGTACTCGAAACCCACAAAGTTGCATTGTAACACAAGGTAGGTTTAATGTGGGGATCCCGAGTTCGTACACCCGGGCTATGAACAAAAATTGGCCGAGCCTCCGCAATCCGTCGGTTGCGCTGTCCTCGATGCAAACACACACACACTCTCTCTCTCTCTCTCTCTCTTTCTCTCTCCCCAGTGCTTTCACAGGGCGCGGCCTCGAGCAGCTGTTCCCCAGGGCTGGGTACTTCTTAGTATAATTTTATCGCAGTTCCGACTCGGTCCTTCGACCGAGCCGCCACTGAGCACACTCTGACCAAAAACATTCTTAAAGAAGGCTCTCTTCGGAGTAGAAAAAACAGTATTTATTAAAAAAAATATTACATAAATAAGTTATAACATCACTACATAAACAGCTATTTTGTTTCAACACTTCTAGTGTCTTATCAAGTGATGAGGTTGATTGCGACTATCAATATGTTATAATTTTTAATAATATATATATATATATATATATATATATATATATATATATATATATATATATATATTTGTGCGTGTGCGTGAGAGAATACGTGTGCATGGATACGAGGCATATCTGAAAGCTCTCTTCTGACGAACTTCCCAAAATATGCCCAAACATCCGAAATTCCTATGGCACCCTTTTTAAGTCGATCCAGCAATTTTAATTTTCAGCACCTCTCATTCATATAAAATAAAAAGAAATTAAATAATAGTAGACTAACTGCTAGAGATTAATAATTTCTATGTTAGCTGATTAACAAAAGCAGCCCTTGACAGGAGACATTTTTTTTCATTCCACTTAATATTGCTTAATTGAAAATGAAATTGATTTAGTTTAATTGCAATTCCTTCTTAAGGAGTAGCTGAACTAAGAGGAAAAATAAAAGCGAAAGGAAAAACGAGGATGACAAGAGTTCATGAATGAATGAAAGAAAGGACAGTCGAAAGAATGGGGGAAAGAAAATGAAAGAAAGAAAGAAAAGGAGAATGTGAAGGAAATGAAGGATGGAATAAAGATAAGCGTGTACGAATCATTAAAGGAAAATCGTGTTAGAGTCAAAATAAACGGGAGCGAATGATATAAGCGAAAGGTGGAAACGAAACGAGAGGGGAACAGAGGAAAATACATTAGAAATTCCTAGAGAAACAAACCACAGATCTAATTATACTAAATTAATTTACAATAGGAAATATGACCTGATGATTGGCTGAAATATTCACAGGGTGTCTTAGTTCAGTGCGTATAAGTACAAGATTTTTAAATACTGACACTTATCCACAGAGTGATACATGAAATGTCTAAAGCACATCATGAGGAAAAGGGTTTGAAGAATTTGATCCTTATGGGGATATGTTGCAGGCAAGAGAAACTGAGGAAAGTAGTTCTTTTTTTTTTTTTTTTTTTGCTGTATGATAATGGACTCTGTTCCGCTTTTCAGATGTCCTTTACTCAGCCATTACTTTGATATTTTTTTCACCCGAAATATTTTATAACTGCTAATTAAATTTCCTTCCCTAGTAAGTATTCTTTCATTTTTTCCTCCTACAAAAAGACTGAAGAAATCATACACATACTCCCTGCCGTGCGTTAATGTAAACCTGTAAAGAAAGTTTGCAGTTACTAATACGAGTTGAAATTAATGCATGTAAAGGTTTCAATGCTCTAGCGCTACTCCGTCATAGTTAGTCTATGAATTTTTCAGCCCGCACTCGTGTTCTATATATATATATATATATATATATATATATATATATATATTTATGAATAAAAATGACAATAGGAAAACTGGTAATTGCTGATGCGTTTCGTCCAATGTGGACTTTATCAAAGCAAAATACGAAAATGAAATTAAATGAACAAAGTAACTAATAAAAACAAAAACAGAATATACCTAGCAACTAGAATGTAGAGAAACGCTATTTTCATATTTTTTAACTGAAAAATAACGTCAGAGATTGTCACGTGTGGAGAATATAGTCATTATATCTGTGTTGATGTATTCAACCATTTTCTTTCGATTTTATGAATCTGTTGTGCATATTTGTTCATTTAATTTCATTTTCGTATTTTTCTTTGATAAAATCCACATTGGATGAAACGCGTCAGCAATTACCAGTTTTCCTATTGTCATTTTTATTCATAAATATTGTCTTCTCTACCGATTAAATCGGAGAAATTTTCATATATAGTTTTATATATATATATATATATATATATATATATATATATATATATATATATATTCAAGTTTGAATCATAAATAATTTCCTTTATTTTGTTTTTCCAAATTTATTCTTTTAATTTCATTTTCGTATTTTGCTTTGATAAAGTCCACATTGGACGAAACGCGTCAGCAATTAACAGTTTTCCTATTGTCATTCTTATTCATAAATACTGTCTTCTCTACCGATTAAATCGGAGAAATTTTCATATATATATATATATATATATATATATATATATATATATATATATATATATATATATATATATATATATCCTAGTTTGAATCATAAATAATTTTCTTTATTTTGTTTTCCAAATTTATTCTTCAAAATATTAAAATAAGGTCTATAAACTTAGATATTACTTATAGCTCAAACTAGTATATATAATATGTTATATCTGTATATATTTCTGAGATATTATGTACACTATAGAAATGAATACAATAGGGAACCAAGCATAGAAATGAATACTATATGCGAACCAGTAATAACGAGTTCCAGAGAAAAGCAATAACAACGAAAATTGCAATATGAGCTCAGCTAAAAAAAAACATGCAATCATAAAAATTTCAATATGAGCACTGGTAGAAAAAAGGTGGCTGAAGACATTAAGTTTATAATACCGAGAAATTCATACACAGACGTCCTCAATGACACATGGCACAGTAGATAAAGTCGTTAGATCCAGTGACAGGACCCATAAGAGTGTGAGTTCAATATCTGGTGAACTTGGAGAGGGGAATTAAAAGGAGATAACTGGCATCCATTAGACATGGATCTAGAAGAGTCTACCCCAGTGAGTGAAATAAAGGGTTCATTTCGACATTCCAACCACCTGAAGAAGGCCGGAGCTTACAACGGCTGAAATGTTGTGATAAATATGGCAACAAAGATGACAATAGCCCGAATAATGTGAATATGATATATATATATATATATATATATATATATATATATATATATATATATATATGTCATCCACAGACAGTTTCGCGTTTTCACGGCTCATCAGTGTGGCAAGATGTCCGATTGCCTCAAGCCGGGATCTAAACCCGACATATTTGCTATCAGTCGGAGACTCTACTCCTAAGTCATTGGCGCACGACTGGGCTGAAGATAAATTTAGACGTGTTTATTTTTAGATAAACACGCCAGTGACTGGAGAACTCGATTCGCCTTAACGAAGTGTCTTGCATCACCAGCAGTAATAGTCACTGTTTACAAATTTACTTTTCTCCCGAAGAGCTGAAGTGAAATGATTTTTTCAGACGCATGTATCTATTTTGTCATGCACAGACAGACTCTTTCGCTGTTTCACAGCTCTTCAGTATGTGTGTGCGTTTTAACGTTTAAGAAAATATGTTTTATTGTCTTTTTCTCAAACAACGTCTTATAATCAGTATGTTACTTGGAGAGAACAAATGAAAACAAACAAGCAATAAGTCCTATTTCCCACGATTATCACCGATTATCCCCGATTAAAGAAACATCACAGCAACTCATATACTAGAAAAAAAAAGAGTGAATTCCATCGGGCTCACCATTATATAACTTGTCGTCATCTTTTTGGTGGAATATGCGTAACGGTCACTTTTCTTTCTTTGATTTTCATCATAGAATATAGACTAAAGTATCTCATGTTCTTAGATTTTCTCAGTCATATTATTTGGCAAGAGGAACGTTATCGTCATATTTATAAAGCTGTTAAGAAAGGTCATGATCTTCATGTTATTTTTGTTGTAGTCTACGTTGTATGTTTGTGTTCATTGTCTAACTGAATTTATATCCTTCTATCTCCAGTAAATGATCTATTCAAACTGAATTTCGAAACCCCAAAACAAGTTTTCCCTGTATTAATATGCAGTCTTATACTATGCGATTGCATCTAATACGATGTTTTTGCATGCCATTAGATGAATCAATTCGGGTCATTTGTATAATTCAGTGCAATCACTAACTAAACGGATTTATGGCGGCTTTTGTAATGGCCGACATATTCACTTCTCGCCTTTTCTTTCGCATTTCTTTCCAAGTATTGCAATTATAGTAGCGCGTATCTGCTTAACAATTTGCTGGTTTCTTGTCCGTTATAGAGGCTCCCACAATTTTAAATTCGTGCTTTTGAATAAAATCTAAAGAAAATGTAATTATCGAAAGTTAATTAAATCTAAAAGAATAAAAAATGCACACAATGATTCCAGGATTTGTTGAAAGTAAATCAACTTTGAACTTTAAAGGAAATTTTATTCAAAATCACATGTGAACGAGAATCTTTGCTTTTAATTTAATTTATTTATTTGAAGGTAACCTAAAAAACATAATGCAGAAAGAAAAATGGAGAAGAGTAAAAATGGGACTGTTAAAACGCAGTGTAAATTAATAAGTGTAGAAAACGGAGAAAGACAGAAGAGAAAGAGAAAATATAGAATGAAATGCTAACACGATGATGGGAAAGGAACGAAGAGGAAAAGAAAACAAAGAACTGAGAAATGAAAAGAGAAAATGAAGTAAAGACTGAAAAGAAAATTGGAAGAAATGAATCAAAAAAAGAGAAATGGTTTGAAATGAATGAAACTGAGGAAAAATGAAGATAGATTGAAAATAGAAGTAATATAAAGGGAAGAGGAAGAAGGCAAAGAGAATGGAAAACAAAGGAATTAGAAATAGGAAATTAAAGCAAAACTAGAAAGGAAAAGTAAAAAAAAATTGGAAGAAATGAATCAAAAAACGGAGAAATGGTTTAAATGAATGAAACTGAGGAAAATGGACTAAATTGAAAATAGAATGTTATATAAAGGGAAGTATTTATGAAGAGTCAAAAGTTCATAGGTATGGTATATAACAGATAGATAGATAGATAGATAGATAGATAGATAGATAGATAGATATGAACAGTGTAAGAGATAGATAGATAGATAGATAGATATGAACAGTGTAAGAGATAGAGATAGATAGATAGATAGATAGATGATAATAGATAGAATAGATAGATAGAAAGATAGATAGATGAATGGATATGATAGATAAACCCACTTACAATAGTGTCCAACGTATGAGATAGATGAATGAAAGAAAGAAAGAAAGAAAGAAAGATGAAATAAAAGAAAAAGATTGAAAATAGATAAACAGATAGAAAACCAAAAAAAAAAAAAAACGAAAAAGCAAAGATAAAGGACGACAATAAATGATGATAATGAGAAAACAAATTAAGTCTGCAATGCAAAAAAGTGAATAAACGAGATAAAATGGAGAGAAAGAGAAAATGGATATGAAAAAGAAAGATGAATAACAATAGATAAAGAAAGAAAAAAGAAAGAAAGATGGAAAAGGGAAGTAAGAAAAAAAAAAAGAAAATGGAGATAGATGAATGTATTTGTTAAAAATTGAATGAAAGAAACAATGGAAAGGAAAATAAGGATAAATAAATATAAGGAGAATAATGTGTGAGATAGATATAGAAAAAATAGATAGATAGATAGATAGATAGATAGATAGATAGATAAACAGACTGGAGATAGATGATATAGATGATATAGACTGAGATAGATAGATAGATAGATGAGATAGATAGATAGATAGATAAACAGACTGAGATGGATGGATAAGCAGACTGAGATAGATAGATGGATAGATATAGATGAGATAGATAGATAGATAATGGATAAGAGACTGAGATAGATAGATAGATAGATGGATAGATGAGATAGATAGATAGATGATAGATAATGCAGATGGATAGATAGATAGATAGATAAGCAGACTGAGATAGATATAGATGGATAGATAAATAGATGAGATAGATAGATAGATGGATAGATAGATGGATAGATAGATGGATGGAGACTGAGATAGATAGATAGATAAGCAGACTGAGATAGATGATAGATAGATAGATAGATATGGATAGATGAGATAGATATAGATAGATAAGCAGACTGAGATAGATGATAGATAGATAGATAGATAGATAGATGATAGATAAGACAGATAGATAGATAAATAGATAGATAAGCAGATGAGATAATATAGATAGATAAATAGATAGATAGATAGATGAATAGATAGATAATAGATAGATAGATAGATAAGCAGACTGAGATAGATAGATAGATAGATAGATAGATAGATATAGATAGAAAAATTTTTGTAAACAGACTGAGAAATAGATAGATAATAGAAAAGATTTAGATGAAAAGAAAAGAAAAGAAAATTTAGGATATAAAAAATAAGAGAAAAAGAAAGGCGCTAAGTGCTAAAAATTAGCTCCAATTTTTCTGTCAGTTTATTCAGATATAAAAAAGAAAATAAGCTTATATATATATATATAAGAAAGGATTTGTATTAGTTCGACAAATTAGTAGAAGTTCAAACTTTATTATTAGTGAACACTCGTATTTGAGTAACCGCTAAGTTTTTATATTAAACTGTATATTTATTCATATTCAAGTATTGGCCTAAATTTTCGGAAAATCGTATTAAAGAAAATTTTGTTCTTTAGCAAGAATTGAACTTCTATCGCAGGATTAGAGAGAGCCACCGTTTATCCCGGTTCGCCGAGATCATCTTGGCCACAAAGCTACAATTGGTCATGTAATGCCAAATTCCATACATTTAAATGAAATTTCATCAATAATCTTTCATAGTTTTCATATCTGCACTGTTTCGTATCCAAACGAAAACAAAAGGAATATATTAGAATTGATTTTTGATTAATCCGACATGTTTTTTTTTTATCTCTTAAGCGTTGTTATTAGTAGATACTTGTATTTGACTAGACGTTCCTTTTATATATTAAACAGTATATTTCTCTATTGTCATCTACAGCACCAAAAGCACGAAGTTTGGCTTCGCCTGTCTCTTCGTGGACAAAGTGGTGTAGGGCACTGGACTAAATGGTGGTTCACTCTACCTCTAAGGATACAAGCTCGATTACTGTCGCAGGGTGAATAAATAGAATCTGTTGAATATACGGAAAAAAAAGAGACATTTTTATCAAACTCTAGCTAAAAACAGTGAAGCCCGGGCTGTAGGCCGTAGGGATTATTCAAGGAGCCATTTTTAATATAAAATATTAAAAAGTTAAATCCATAAGAGAGAGCTCTCTCTCTCTCTCTCTCTATATATATATATATATATATATATATATATATATATATATATATAAATACCTATATAAAAAAAAAAAACTAATAAGGAAAGACTTAAGTATTCATCATATAATCGGTTA